TCTCTCTCTCTCTCTCTCTCTCTCTCTCTCTCTCTCTCTCTCTCTCTCATATCTCTATCAGCTATTTACCTGTCATCTGAGAAAATAGCTTATAAAGGGCAAATCCTAGATGTCAAGTCAAGAGTCCTAATTCAAGTCTGAGTTCTAATGGTAGCTTTGCCAGCAACTCATTCTTCCTTCATGGAAAAGAATGTAACCTCTTACTTGAGGGTACCAGACAGTCCTGGAAAATTGCATCTTCACGTATTAGGATCCAAAAACATCTTTCAACTTAAATAAGCTTGTTAGCCAAATTTATCTTAGGCAGGTCAAATTTTTGTATGACAGTGTTGTAATTTTGTATGTGTTGGCTATATCTTTACAGTAAAGGAAGACCCCTTGGATCTTGGATAATCAATAAGTGTAGAATATATGTGTGTAGTTTATCACCCAATTTTATTATTTCAAATGACTGCAGAAGTTGACAGCTGAACCTTTGGGTTTTTGACATGTTCTTGATGAACCTGTGATTTATCTTATACTGAGTTCTTAGTCATGGTTACAACTCCCAAGCTGACTTTTTCTTTTTGTAGGAGATGTACACTGTGATAAAATGCCTAGGACCACATGGGGTGGGTGGGGGAAAACTTTCCCTCAGTCTGAGCTTTTTTAGTCTGCATTTAACAGGCAGCCTCTGTTAAATGCATCGTGCTTACTCATGTGGACCACTGATGAGATTTAATATTGCCCAGCTTCCTGCTTATGAAGTTCCCATTCAAAGAGAACTATTCCAATGAGAACAAGGCACGGCAGTTTCAGAGATCAATACTGGACTAGTTCCTGATCAATATGGAACTATTTGGCAATTTTCTTATATAGAATGACATTTCCTCTTGTAATCTGAGGCAAATTCAACTGAAATGAAAAAAGGCAATTACTAAAGAATGAAGTAATATGATATTTTGTCTTACACAAACAATAAATGAAAAAAGGGGCCTCTGAGAATTGGATTCATGGAGGTGAGCTGCTCCTGTTCTGTTCCTTGCTGACGTGAGTAACTACTTAGATTGCAACATGGAAAGTGGTGTGCTGCATTTCGCATTCTGTGAAAACATTTCCAAAGCTGTTCCTTTGAAATGAGAGTACAAGTTCAATTAAGCATAGAGAAAGGCACCAGGAGCAATATGCTTAAACTCCTTGGTGATATTTCATCACATTTAACACTGCGTCCCTCTGAGGAGCGGCGCATAAAACACTTCCCAAAGAACTGAGAAGTTTAAGGCAGTTCCAAGTTAGTCTGTCCTGGCCTACACATTCATCTTTTAGCTGAATAGAATATCTGGGGGTTGGGGGAGGTTATAAAGTTATAACGGGTAAAGCAAAGTTATAAACGGGTAAGACTGAAAAAAATGCTTTAAGGGGCTTGTGCCACATGTTAAAACACTGTATTTGAAAGCTCTCCTCCAGATGCCTTCAGTGGTGTGGTTTTATTTCCTTAGAGGAAATACTTTAAGACAATAGCCGTATCTCTTTTTTTTTCTTTTTTATTTGAGATGGCATCTCACTCTGTTGTCCAGGCTGGAGTGCAGTGGCGTGATCTTGGCTCACTGTAACCTCCACCTCCCAGGTTCCACTGATTGTCCTGCCTCAGCCTCCCAAGTAGCTGGGATTATAGGTGCCTGCCACCATGCCCAGCTAATATTTGTATTTTTGGTAGAGACAGGGTTTCTATGGTGGCCACGCTGGTCTCGAACTCCTGACTTCAGGTGATCTGCCCATCTCTGCCTCCCAAAATGCTGGGATTATAAACGTGAGTCACCATGCCCGGCCACCATACCTTTTTAAATTTGAAATTTGTGATCTTTTGGATTCTTATTGGACTAAAGCTCACCACTGTATTTATTACCCATGAAATGAATGGGGCATGTGACATTGAAGGAGAATGAAGCTACCAAAATAATACTGTCCTAGGATGTTGGAAGAAAGTGTTTTATATGCAGTGTTCTAATAACTATTCCCTCTTACCCACTTAAGAAGCCTCTACACTCCACCGGTCACTAGTTTAGCCACTTGAAAATAGCATAAAATCTCTTTAAAAAATAATGCTAGCTTAATGAAATCGGGTAGATAAAATAAGAATACTACCTTTTATTTAATTGGGATTCTGTTAATTAATGCCAATTAATTAACACAAGAAAAATGAGAGATATTAGCATTATTCCTATACACTACATTAAAAAATTTAAATACTTCAAGTAAATTACCAGTATCTCCTCCAGAAAATCCATTCAGAAAATCTATTTTTCAATGTCATGATTTCAGTCTTCACCTCCAATCTGTTGAAGGGGAATTTGACTTTAATAAAATGGATTTTCTTTAGAAGACTTTCTAAATTCAGCCCAAATTTAGTTCAGGCTGGTTTTTTTCATCGTCAGTCCCAGTTAGAGTGTTTTATAAGTTTCACTCAGACATATGAAATCTAAGCTTGCAAGGAAAGTAGTAGAATCTCATTAAATCATTACCATCCACTGCATGGATTCAAGCACAGGAGTGGTGTTTCATTTAAAGTAAGCAAATTCTGTTGACTCTGTGTCCTGTATTGCATTTACCTTCAACATAATTTTTATTTGGCATCATAGCAACCTGCCTTCTGCCCTGAAGGAAGCTGGATTTGACAGTCATGTACCTTAGGACAACTTATAAATACACGTTCATTGTACACCTAGTTTATACCGCTCATTGTTCAGGCATTTGACTCATTACCTTGTTTGATTCTCATGCCAAGCATCTCAACATCAGCATTGATATCCTCCTCTTACAGATGGGGGAGGTGTTTAGAAGGTTGCTTGAAGTCAGGCAACAAAAGGAAGTGGTAGAGCCAGGATAGGAGCCCAGATCTCTCTTCACTAGAACACACTGCCTCCCATGGGTGTGGTGCCTTTACCAGCATAACATTTAGCTTCCAAAATTCCCAATCCTCTTGGCGAGATTCTCCCTCTTTACTCCTTGTATGAATTTCCTGGCATTGATTTTTTTTTTTTTTTTTAACTGACTCAAAAGAATGATTTTGCACAGTTCCCCTTTTTTTTCCTGGTCATTCATTCTGTGCCCAATCCTACAAACTGGGCAAATGGACTGTGTCTCTTCCAGCTGCCATGTTGTGATTTCACCCCAGTGCCTCCATGCCTGCAGCAGCTCCCTGCACCACCTCAGCGAGCCGATGAGGCAGCCACGCGGGAGCCTCTTCCAGGGTGGGATTTTAAAGATATCTTTAAGATATCTTTAATAATAATAAATAAATTTAAAAAAAAAAAGATATCTTTAGAAGTGATTTTCAATCCTAAGTCATGGAGATTTGAGTTGCTCTTTCAAAAGTGAGGACATGTCCCGCCTCTCTTCTCTATTTATTCTTACTCCCAGGATTTCACCAACGTTTAAACGCCATCTGGATGCCAACGTCTTCCACATTTATATCTCCAGTTCTCCCTCCTGAAATCTAGACTCATATATCCAACTGCCTACTCCACACCTCTTCGTGGGTACCTTATAAACATCTCAAGCTGAACATGTTCAAAACTTCTGATTTCCTCCCCACCCACGAATATGCTTCATCCACAGTCTCCCCATCTCAGTGGATGAAAATGTCTTCCTTGCAGTTGCTCAGGCTAAAAGCCTTACAGTTATCCCTCACTCCCCTCTTTCTCTCACATAAAACATCAGACGTATTATCAGATATATCAGTACACTTCTTGGCTTTTTTTTTTTTTTTTTTTTTTGAGACAGAGTCTTGCTTTGTTGCCCAGGCTAGAGTGCAATGATGTGATCTCAGCTCACTGCAACCTCCGCCTCCCAGGTTCAAGTGATTCTCCTGCCTCAGCCTCCCGAGTAGCTGGAATTATAGGCACATGCCACTATGCCCAGCTACTTTTTGTATTTTTAGTAGAGGTGGGGTCTCACCATCTCTACTGACCTGACCTGATGGGGTCAGGCTGGTCTCGAACTCCTGACCTCGTGATCCACCTGCCTCGGCCTCCCAAAATGCTCGGATTATAGGTGTGAGCCACTGTGCCTGGTCTCTTGGCTTTTTCTTTAAAATATACCCAATTATTTCTCACCATCTCCCTGCCAATGCCCATCAGCCTAGTCATGGTGAGTGCCATCGTCTCATCATTTGGGTTGCTGCAATCCTCTTCTATTGTTGACTCCACCCCTTGTAGTCTATTCTCAACCAAGCATTGAGGCAATCCTTTTGTCAGCAGATTATGTCACTCTGCTTAAATTCCTAGATTGGCTTTTTGTTACAATGACCTTCAAAGGGCAGATTTGCAGAAGACCGATCCCTTCTAGAATTAATCTCTGTGCCTTCTCTGGTAACTATGGCAATAATGGCAATGTCACTGTGTCCCTCTGAATGACTGATTTCCACTGGAGGTACCATGTTCAGGGCCAGGCAGGAGTTGGAGAGAGCTTAGGTCAGGATGGACTTGAACTGCCAAAGTTCCCATCAGTTCTGTGGTTAGTATATGTCCCTTTCAAGTGGAGGCACATGCAAACAGCAAAAAGATGCTTCTTCAAACTGAACCAAAGTTGGAATTAAGAGAAACGTGCTAGTAAGTTTCATGGAATATGAAAGTATCTTCATTGCAATTAGTTTTAAGACCCTGGCCCTAAGCTTTCCTTCCTCCTTAGGGAGAAAGCATGATAGGAAGGAAAAGCAGAGGAAACAGTACCCAGGAAGACCCGTATTTGGATCCTTGCTCTTCCACCATGGAAGAATAGAGTATTTTTCAGGAAATGTTCACTTCTTCCTCATCTTCATCTCCTTGGGAGGATTTTCATGTTGAGCTTGGCCATATGGCTTCTTTGGCTTGTGGAAGTGGACAGAGTGAATGTGTGAGTTTCATGACTAGGCCTTAAGTCACATCACTTATTTCTTCCCTCTACCATGAGAACTACTTGCCCTGGATATCATCTCGATCCTAGAAAAATGAGAGCCAGGTGGAGCTGAGCTGCTTCAGCTCACTCGCAGACCTGTAACTGGAAGCAGAGCCACCCCTGCCAACCCACAGAGGCAGCAATAAGAAATCAATGCTTATCATTGAATGCTTGTTTATTACGCATTTATAAGTTGCTGACTGATACAGCCATTAAATGTGTGTCATTGGTCAAATGACTTCACCTCTTGAAGTCTTGATTTTTCCCATCTGTAAACTGGGGATGGCAATCATACCTCTCTGAAGGACTTCATTAGCACTAGGTAAGGGGCCTGCATGTAAAGCATAGACCTTGGTGTGTGGAAAGTGCTCAGTAAGCATCATCTCCATAATCCTGTGGCTCAGCACCTTGCAGAGTGGATACTACATCTAAATGAGCAGAGCAAATTGAAGCTATGCTGGTGTGAAGTTCTGGGTAGCAGCAGTAGAAAGGGCAGGGGTGGAGGTTAGGTGTCCCTCAGTAGCATGGTAGAAATGGTGGGGTGGGGGGTTGATTTCTGTCTCTAGCACACTTAGAAGGACAGAAGCAGGATACCCTGATGGGGCCGCCTGAGTTGTCTTCATCATAACCTGAATTTATGAGCCAGTGCTGGCCTAACCTGCTGCCTGTTGGAGAGCCTCGGGAGAGACTTCCAGTCTTGTGTTTCCCACCCACTGGCTGTGTTCTAGTGAATGACTCCTGTTCCAGACTCCCCTGCCTGCCACTGGGCCAACTTTCTGGCTGCCGTAGGGACAAAAGAGAGCTGTGGTTTTCTGCTGTGCAAATCAATCCCTTTCTGCCACAGTGTCCTGGGCAAAGCAATGTTGAGGTCATTCCCATGAATTGGCCATCATTATCCCTGCAGTGCTGCTCCCTTCAGGTATGTGACAAAGGTCACTACAGAGGACATCTCCATTACTCCCTGCTGGATTATAGGAGCTCAAAATTCTTGTTATTAGGGTTATTAGGGGGCCTAAATCAACTACCTTTCCCCATGCAGGCCAGGATCTCTTTATCTTGCTTTGGCTCCCCTTTCTTTTCCCTGGGCCCTGAGAGGTATAGAGTATGGAGATCACAAGCGGGGGTGCTCCTGCTGTCTTCTATTTGTATTTCTAGGAATGTGTCTTCAGAGGTGGTAAGGGTGTTTAAATGTCTGCCTGCCTTCTGCATAAACACCTTAACATGGCTCAAGATCTGGCTCCAGAACATCTTTCTTGCCACTCCCTCTGCCCCGTCACAGCTCCTGAAAGAGGCCATTCACCCTTCTATTCACCCAGGCCATCACCAGTGCTTATTGGGTGTGCCTCGTCTTAGGCACTGAGACGAAGAGCTGATGAAGACAGAGTTCCTCCCTCTGAACTCTTCGCTGGCCTTCAGTACTCTCCAGGTTTTGTGCATGTGGCTCTCCACCTTGGAATGCTTTTCCTTCCCTCCCTCCCTTTCTTCCTTTCCTTCCTTCCTTCCATCCGTCTTTCCCTTCTTCCCTGCCTCCCCTTCCACTCCCTCCCCACTATTGCTCCTCCCTTGGTGGCCCAAGCCACATCATTTAATATTAATCAGACCAGTGCTGGGGGCGGGATGGTGGGGTGGGGAGGAAGGTCCCTCTAATGATTTACTCTGCAACTGGCAATCCGTTAGACTGTGTGTTGGGGCTTAATGTGTGATTTCATGCATTTTCACGGTCTCTAAATTGCAAATCCAAGATTATTTGAAAACATTTTATTTAATTTTCATGCTTTTTTAATCAAAAAGTTAAAAGAATAATAATCTTTTATGGGCAGTTATAAGTGTGCTATTTACACACAAGACAGAAATATCTCCCTTAGCTGAGCAATCTAAGTGTGTGCTTAGAGAGGACTCCATAAGAATACTAATGAGAAAAGGCAGAATGTGCTTGGAGACAACTTAATTCATTCTTCTGGGAAATGTCTGTCTAGGTGGAGTGGGATTCTCCAGGTTCATTCCTCAGCCCTACCAGCCTCTGCAGATGGGAGGGACTTGGCGGTGAGCACCTGGTAGTTGTAGGGCTGCTGTCTGGGCCATCTTTCCATCCCTGGAGCCTCGCTTGGTGTCTGTCATGTGGAAGGCATGCAGGAAATGTGTGTCGGTTAAGTGAGTAAACGGCTGAGTGAAGGATTCTCCATACTCTCCCTTGGCAGTCCAAGATGAGATCTGTACACATTCTTTTTTTTTTTTTTTTTTTTTTTTCACATTGCCATTGGAGATAGAAGCAGCAGACACAGCTGAGCTCCTGGCTTGGTGAAGGGCACACCAAGGGGATGTGGGGTGCTGGGATGTTTGCCAACTGTTTTTCACTTTTGTGAGAATCATTATTTACCTATTGCTTGATTCAGAATCCCAGACCTAGAAGGACTTTAGAAACTTGAAGTTCAGCTTTTTTACTTTACAAGATGAATGACAAAGTCAAAGTGAGGAAACTCCTTGATAAAGGACAAAGCCAAGACTTAAATCCCAGTATCCTGCTCACTCCTAACTAGGTAGAGACAATCTTTTTTTCCTCATATTATTTCTTTCATCTATTGGTGTGTGCTATCTCACCCAACTTTTCCCAAATCCTGCACCTTCTGGGATTGCTGGGGATGACAGCAGCATCTTTTTCCTTCCTCCTTCAACTTTGCACTGTTCTCTCTTCTGTGTAAGGAGTCTGGGGATAAAACACTCTGGAAACCCAAGGAAACTGGACAAAGTCCTCTACATCCATAGGCCACACATGTGGATAAAGAGAGATGCCATCCTATCTCTGCCTGGAAAGGAGACCCAGCCACACACACAGAACTGGTCTAGCTGAGGACTTCTGTAAGTGTTGCGATCGGATCCATAGTACCTGATGAGTGCTTTCTCAATCCCATAATTGGCAAAGCCCCAACTGTGGCCAGCTGACATGGTGGAGCGTATCAGCCAGCAGAGTCCCCTGGCTCATTACCAATCTGTGGGATAAAGATGACCACCATAATCATAATCATTATCGCCTTAGGCATGGATGACAAAGGCACCCTAGGGACTTCTGCTTGAAATGAGCTGCTTCTTAGCCAAACCCTACTCTCCAGAGTGACTTTCAACAGAATTGCAGGATCATGAAACTGAAAAGGGCCCATGGAGATCATCAGTTCTGGCTTCCTGCCTTCAGGCAGGTCTAACATTTATAGAATAGTTGCTGTAGAGGAAATTGAACCAAACTTACTTTTATATGTTATTCTTGTGATAGTATCTCTGTTGAGCATTCGATTAAGAAATGGATTTGATGAATCAGAAACCTGGAGGAGAAAAGAAAATATTAATGACTGGCCGTCACTCTTGCAGGACAAACATCTCCCCGTGGCATTCACTTATTCATTCATAGTTACCAAGTACCTACCATGAGCCAAACACAATGACAGCTGGAAATTCAGACAGCAAAGCCAGAGTCCCTACTCTCAAGGACAGCCCAGTCTAGAGAGGAAGACAGGTAAGTGAACAAACCACTCTCATATAGTGTGGAGAGTGCCATGATTTGAGTCATTGGTGTAATGATGTTGGAGGAAGACCAGCCACCACCTGAGAATTTAAGTCATGCGACTGGGAGGGTGGGTGGAAGTTAACAAAGTGTTCTGGTGATAGAGTGTGAAAAGGGATGAAAGGCAAGGAAAAGCATTTCATATGGATAATCTGTACATACACGGACACGGGGAAGTGAGAACTAGGCATGCATGCAAGGACTTCAGTGTACTTGGCGCTGAGAGTGTGGGGAAGGAGAGGAGGTGATCCTAGAAAGATTGGCAGGGGCCAGATCATGTCAGGCTTTTAAGCAAGGTAGGGACTGGCATGTTAGGAAGGGGAAATTCATCTAGGTAGAGAGTGAGACATAAAGAATACCCAGAATAGAGGTATAAGGAAATGGGAAAAAAAACTGAAAAGTAGTATAGGATCTTGGTATATCACTGCTCATTATTGCATGAATTGAGTACTTCATAAGCCATGTAATTCAATCCATCCATCCATCCATTCATCCATCCATCCATCCATCCATCCAACAAATATTTGCAGAGGGTCTATCATGGGTCAAACATTGTACCAGATGTTCAGGGATCCATTCCCATTTTATGCCTATGCCCTTATAGCTTCAAATTCCTCCTTTGGGAGAAGAAACCAGGTTTTCAGGGGCTTCAGTAGGGAACTATCATTGATGAGACTGTGATGTGGCCCTACATGAGAAAAGGGTTTTCTTAACAACATTTGTTTACTCAGCCTTTTCTGGGTTACCATTGTTCATCCTAGTCATTTCTCTCCTACCTTGCTTAGCTCTGCTCTGTAATTTATGCCTCAGCGGCTAATCGGATGTTGTGACACATCAACATTTTAAATCTGATTTATCTGAGGGTTGGAAAAATTGCAGCAGATGATTATTATTATTAGATAAGCAACAGGTAATTTTAGCTTAGAGAAAGCACAGACTGTTTATTTTCCCACCATCTGTCTCTCTTTTTGCAGTTTCCTGGCTGTGTTGTGGTGAGACACACACCAAAGGGAGCTTGGTGAGTGACAACGCCCAATGGAGGTAAAAGTCCACCCCTAAATAGAAAAAGTCCCAAATTAAATACTGTTGCTCCCCTCAGTGCTATATTCAACATCTACTTTGACATCCTTTTCAGTCATTTAAAAGATAGCTTGAAGCCTGCTCCTGGTGCTGATGCACCCCATGGAAGAAAGATGGCTAGGAATATATTGTTGTGGCAGGTAAGGGATCTGTTATGTACCTTAACACCTGGGTGCCTTGAGCTCCTGGTACCTGGTGAGTCTGGGCAGCTCTTATGTTGGGACCAGACTGTTTTGAGCTGATTAAAAATAATTGAAAAATTTCCAAAGTGCACACAGATGATTTGTGGGCTCTAGTGTGTTGGTTGCGTGGGTGAGAGGATAAAATATGTACTTGGTATAAGTGAGCTTAAGTGGGAAGTTAATGGTGTGTGATTGAGCAGCAATTACAGCCAAATCTCAGTTCCCTGTGGTCACAGCAAGGGTGGGAGATTTGTGGAGGACACAGATAAATAAAACAGATAAGCAAGTATCTCCTTTTAGACAGTAACTCCAACTTTTTTATGGCTCAGCTTTTAGCCAGGGTGATAACTCTAGGGCTAAACTGCCAGGATGTGGGACTTGTCATATCCCATTCCTGCCCACCCTGCTGGAAAGGGAAGGGCAGAGAGTTCAGAAGGAGGGGAGGACAACTACAAGAAGCTGTGAACCCTTAGGGACCAAGAGCTTTGTTCGTCTTACTTCTGGGTACCAGTGCCTAGCAGAGGGCTGGCCTGTAGTACCCCACGCTCTATCAGAGTTTTGAGATGAGTGAATGGTCAGCCACAGCGTAAATAACTCATGGTGGAGTTGATTGTCTGGGAGTTGATTTTCTGGGAGCTGATTATATGGAGGGAAGACAGAAATGTTGTGGCTTATTTTGAGATCTAGCAAGAAAGCTTCAGGTCTGCTCAGGGAAAGAAGGGCTTCATCCCTAGGAGTGAAACTGACCTGAGAAGATACAGGAGCTAGTCATTATCCCTTCACTGACCTCAGGGTCTACAGGCTAAGTTCCTTTCAACAACCTGTGGGCAAGCAACCAGGACCTGCTAACCCCAACTGCTAGTCATGAGCTCGGTAGGAATGAACGTTTCTGTAGGAGCTTGTGAAACACACTGGTAGTTTGCTGTTGGCTTCCCTGTGTATCCATCACTCTGTCAGCAGTCATGTGCCTGTGCTTCCGGAATGACAGTCACTGATTCAAGCTTTCAGTCATGTGAGGCAAAGTCAGGACCAAGGTCGAGACACTCCCCAAAGGACAGGAATTGCTGGGGCAGGCAGGATTTGTGCTGGGAAAGCCATAGGGGGAGGTGAGCTCCTGGACACACATGATAATATTGTGACATATCTACAGGCTTCACAGTGAGTGCGGCCCAGGTTGAATGTACAAATTGGTTATCAATGACACAATCAGGGCTTCATTAAGAGATACAGGAATTTGCCCTGTGCTTATGAGTAGCATGGGGTTGTGAGGAGCATGGGAAAAAGGTTTTAAAATGTCATAGTTTCCCTTCTTGCCCTCACTTGCTTTCTCCCAGCTCTATTGGAAAGGGATAGAATGAGTAAGCCATTCTTTCATGAGTATTAAAGTCAGGGAAGACTTGGATCCTCTCCTGGCTGGGCTGTGATAAGCGACATGAACTTGGGTGAAATGCCAAAGGCTTTCTGAATGATTTTACTCGTCTGCAAGATACAACACAAATGCCCAACTCTGAATTTATTACTAAACAATAAAATAGATGTAAAATACATATCATAGTGTCTGGCATTCAGAAATCTATTGTTTATCATTCCAGGGTTTGTGATGATGCCAGGAGATACCATTAGGATCTGTGCTGGGACCAGTTTCCTTTGAGATGTCGTGTCGAGTATCATAAAGGCATGAAAGCCAAAAAATATGCTTCCCTGGCCAAATGTCCCTCCCTCTTTGCTAATGACAAACCAGGGAGGTTGACCTTAGTAGCCATGGATAGCAACATGCCATAGATGCTCCGTCAAGCCCCTGCCCAGTGCATAGGTCTGCCACGATCTGACTGAGGGGAGGGTGAGGAAGTTAGGAGGGGGCATGGCATGAATGACCAGGGAGGGTGAAGTGCCTATTGCATGGGGTAATGCTTTTGTCAGGGTGGGGAGAGGGAGTAGTGCCCCAGGTACCCATTCTTTTGAGTAATAATGATGTCATCATGACAGCCCTGTTAAAATTCCCTGGTGGCAAATACTGGGTTTCTATTCATCATCTTCATTAGATTCCCAGTTCTGATTGGGGCACTTTCTCTAATGATCTGGCCAAAACGTCCCCAGGGGCTAGCATGGTGACTGCTAATGTTTGGAACTGCCACACATTGCTTTTTAAAAACTTTTTCTAATTAGGAAAGCAATTTCTTTTTTTTATTAAAAAATTTGCATACCTGCTTCTCTCTACATCTGCTAAAATGTTAAAGGTATTTGGTATTTTTTTTTTTTTTTTTTAACAAATTAGAATGTGCTTGGTTGGAGATTTTATGTTGTCATTGTTGACTGTTAGGGAGATGTGGAGTTTCCTTAGAATGTTATAAAGTCAGTGTGGGTAATCTTATTACCAGGGATGCTTATGAAGAAGTGGGAGAGTAAGACAGAAAGATGATGATCACACCAATTGTGAGGAAGCTGGAAGGAGCTATTTAGTGCAGTGCCTGGAGAGGAGAGACGTCTCGCTGCTTCCTGTGTTTATAAGGGGCAGCTGAATGGTGAACAGGACTTTAATCCTGTGGGGCATTAGTGAGCCACCTGCCCTTCTAGTATTACATCCTTCTGATTTGACTACATTAGTTGGGTCCCAAAGCCTGTTCCTGGATCCAGCCGCCTTTTTCTTTCTAGGACAGAAGCTGCTTGAATCCTCAGGCCCAGATGCTCTGGAATGGAGCTCATCATTTTTGCATCTCACTGCAGGGGACCTCATTTTTCATAAATCTCATGTATATAAAAGGCACCACCCCGTAGTTTTCGTAGGCATGGATAGCACCCCTTTTAATATTTCTAACTCCAACAGAGACCATAAATTGGTATTCTGATTGAGGTGGGGATGGTGAGAAGAATGAAGGAATGCAAGAGACTTACTTTTATAAATATAGAAACTACCACCAATCCATTTGGACTCTTCGCAGCTTCTGTGACATTTGTATATAGCTCATGGTTATAGTGGATGAGCTGCACCTGGCAGGAGGGAAAAACAAGAATCAGAACAATAATCCAACATTAAAAGGTAGGAGGCATAGCACTTGCCCCTACGTAAGGGTAAACTGCAAAGTACATTGAGGAACAATTTGGAAGACAATCTTAATTGAAGGGATTTCAGAGGGATATGTGTTCGCGTGTGTGTAAAATGCATGCACACACACACACAAAAATACCCACACATATTTGCAAATGTTTTCTGGTAACAAGCATGCTTTTAATAAGCTCAGAGCCCATCTGGCTCTGGCTCCATCCCAGGACATTTCCCCTGAAGCACGTGTAAAGTGAATTTTCCTTGTTAGGAATGGAACTGCCCTGTAGGGGTGGACGTTGTGTCCCTGCTGCACCAACAGCTGCCACTGGCAGCCAGTAAATCTTCCTCGCAGCCTGGGGGCAAACAGGGAACTGTTAGGTCCTGAGTCAGCCATGACCTGGGATGAAACTGGCTAGCCTGCAAGATGCAGTAGTAGCTGATGGATCAGGCTTTTGATGCATCAGCCTGCTCTGGTCATCTGGTTGTGCAGGACTTTATTTCCTCCTCATTCAACAAGGATCAGTCCACCTGTTGAGCCTTTTTCCTGTTACTTATTTTTTTAAAATTCATTTTTAAAAATTGTGCATAAGCATACATACATGTTCAAACAGATGTTTCAGCAATTTTAAGCCACATGATCATGTTACCCCACATCACTGGGATCAATTGTTTCCTCTGAAAAATGCGTAAGATGATCTCTCCTTAAAATTCATCTCAGGGCCGTGATTTTAAAATAGTTTTTTCTTAACAGTATGGAAGCATAATTTTTTTTTTTTTTTTTTTTTTTGAGTTGGAGTCTTGCTCTGTCACCCAGGCTGGAGTGCAGTGGCATGATCTCGGCTCACTTCAACCTCCGCCTCCCAGGTTCAAGTGATTCTCCTGCCTCAGCCTCCAATGTAGCTGTAGCTGGGACTACAGGTGCATGTTACCATGTCAGGCTAAGTTTTTGTATTTTTAGTAGAGACGGGGTTTCACCGTGTTAGCGAGGATGGTCTCGATCTCCTGACCTCGTGATCCATCTACTTTGGCCTCCCAAAGTGCTGGGATTACAGGTGTGAGCCACTGCGCCCAGCCGGAAGCATAATTTTTTGACAAATTAAAACATAGAAGTAAAAAAAGTGATGCCCCCCTACCACCTCTTTCTAATTCTAGTCCACGCCATACACACAACTATAAACAGTTTAGTGTACATCCTTGTGGTTACTTGTTTTGTGCTTATAAATCACACAAACACACATAGGGTATAAAAAACAATAAATTCCCTAGTCCACAGTAAGTGTTAAAAAATAGAAAGGGACGATTCATAATTATGATTCTGAACTTGATTTTTTTTAAATTTAAAAGTAGTTTGTAGCTATCTCTCTAAGTCAATGCATATAGATCTCCCCAAGTCTTCCTAATAACTAGAGAATTCTCAGTTGCACAAATGCCCATAACATATTTAGACATCTTCTCACTGGCTTTTGGGTTGTTTCCATTTTTTTTGTCTCTTATAAACAATGGCACAGCAAGCACATCATATATCTTTCTGTAATGGTGTTAGCATTTTCCACAGGCTGATTTGAAAATCCAATAAGGTGGTGTGCATAGAAGTGATTTGTGACTCTGAAAGTGTAGGAGAGTACTCATTATTGCCAATATCTTGTATTGCATTAAAAAAGGTGAAGTTTTAGAAGTTGAGAAATGTGATGATCAAAAAAGATGCTTTTCCTTGAACTTTGAGAAAAATAAACCGTATCTAACCCAGTGGTTTGTGACCTTCACTGTGCATCCAGATCGCCTGGGTGCTTTTAAAGCCCACCTGTGCCTGTCTATGCCTTCTCACATTCTGATTTAATTGATGTGGGGTGATACTTGTATTCATCAAAAGCTTACCAGCTAGAGGGAGGTTGGACTTGAGAACAAGTGGAACATAATCAATGAGCATTAATATCCCATCGGTGCCTAATCAGATGGACAGTACCTTGAATCTGAGACTATCCTGAGCTTCCTGAGCAGTAGTGGAACTTCTCATGAAGAGAGCACATATTACTGTTGCTCTTGAAATATCCTATTTGCTTTTTGCTTTTTCACCTATGAGTTTTGCCAATGAAGACGGACGACTCTACAGTAGCTACTCTGCCATCAGAAAGGCAACCACAGGCAGGGGTTGCTCTGCCTCTGCAGGACTTTTAATACCCCCTCCCTTGTACCCCTACACAACCAGGACTTTCTGCAGGTGGAGAAATGTTGCCAGGTGGAAGAACCAGGGACTGGGGGGTTCTCACACACTCAGCACACCTCCCTTCCAGTGCTGAGTAAGATTCTAATGAGAACAAAACACACCCTGCCATCTGCTAAGTTCTTCCCACTGATACAGGTGACCGACAAAACCACCAGGGAATGTGCCAGTGCTTCCAGACATGCCTTGAAGTTACAGCATGTTCTGAACACCAGAGCAGGGATGTGAAAGGCAATCCAGTGGAGTGATCCTTCTGTCCAGCTTGCAAGCCAGAAAAAGGCAGGAAGAAGTCTCCTGGGCCATAGGTTGCCCCATAGGGTGGGATTCTTTCGGGAGCCAGGAACTGTAAGAAAGGAGCTGGCAACTACAGGGCTGAGGCTGTGCTGTACTTTAAGCTTAAGTTAACACATTTAAAACTTTGATCTGAAGTCGTGCCTCCTGTCTGTTCCAAGGTGAGTTGGCTAGGATTTTGATATCAGGAGCTTTGGTTTCTATTAGCAGTTGTTGATGGACTGTCTATTGTGTTAGGTTGAACCATATGAAATTGATCTTTTGCTTTACAAAACTGGTGAATTTATAGTTAATACATTCTAGAAATAAAGCTATTTTGAATATGAGTTTTGAGCATTTTCTTTCTGACCCCCAGTCAGACGTTAATAAGATGACATAGAGCTTGGCTATTCAGTGTGTGCTCTAGGGATCAGCAGCAGCCGCAGCATCTAGGAGCTTGTTAGAAATGCACAACTGGGAGCCCCATCCCAGGTCTTCTGAATCAAGATCTGCATTTTCTCAAATTCCTAGTGATTTGGATGCACGCTAAAGTTTCAGAAGTGCTGCTATAGCTGATACTGTTGGCTGGTGAGCAGAGTCCTGTTTTGTCTGGCTGTTTACCCCTTCTCTACTTCAGTGTGGGTGGGTTAAGGAGCACATGCATCACTTATGTTGGAAAACAGGCTGAGTCCAGATCATAGGACCCCTGGAATGTCAACAATAGATAGGCTTTGAGCAGGGGAATGAGATAATCAGCATGGACTGTAAGAGGGCAGATTGGAACCAGGAGAAAATAGAGGTGGGAGTTGGGGGGTGTTTAACTTCAGGTGATGGCTATTAAGACAGACATGTGCTCTATAGGCCTTTGCAGTTTATAGAATGTGTATGTTTGTGTGCTGAAGAGGCACCAGGAGATTCCCCAGGCAACAGAACATCTAGGAGCAACAGAAGAGCTCAGGAGACAGCTTGACAGTCACCAGGCTTTTTGTTCTCAGCTGTAAGAACACGGTTTGGCATCAAGGATAACCTGGGACCTGTACCAGGTCATGTACCAACAGCAGGGCTTAACCATGAAAAAGTGCTGCTTCCTTTCTACTGCCTTCCAGGTCTTTGTTGGTGGTGATCACAGTTCCTGCAGCTGTTGCCTTTGCTCTTCCCTAGTCAGGCACAAGAATGCCAACCCAATACCCACTAACCACTCACAGCATGCATGGGTCCAGGTGGGTCTGGAGAAAAGTGGGGTTCACTGCTTTTCCTACCATGAATTTGGGCTTGGGGAGCAGCAATGTGCAAATCACATCCTGCTAGGGACAGAGTATCAGATTGGCAGATGGGTTCTGAAAGTGATGCCTGTGGATTTCTTTTTGCTGTTTATAGGTAACACTTTTAAATCTCAACCATTTAAAGTCTAAATTTTTGAATAACTTAGATGGGCCCTAAGCTATACCTTAACTGAGCCCCAATTTTAAGGCTTATGCAGAGTAATCAGAGTGTCTGATGTGAAACAGATGATCGATAAGTGATTGTTCAACTGTCTGAGCAAGTGTATGATTTGACTAAGATTGCAGGGACAATGAGAGCAAACTCTTTGGGGGCTGATGATGACATGCTAATTAAACACCAAATTCAAGAATCTAAGACACTCATTAAAGAGATGCCTTGAGAACTTCTGCTAGTTTA